GACGGGAGTGAGATGAGCACGAGCTGAGATGGGGGTGAGCTGGGAGGCGCTTGGCCCTCTGGGGGTGCTCACTAGGTGACAGAAGTCAGGTCAACCTTTCTAGCCTTGGGCTTTTGGCACCAGCCACCAAATGGACTTGGGTTTTCTCCTGTATCCAGCTTCCTTCTTTTCTGCTCTAAAAGAAAACCACAAGCAAATCCAAGGAGGCCAGCAGCAAAGCAGACATCAGCTCTCCCGACAGGGATGCCTTGGGAGGGTGAGGAGCTCAGCCATTTTCCATCAACAAAAATAAACCCTCAGGAAACCTCTGAGCCATACTGTCCTGGCACCCACTCTGCGCGGCATTTCATTTTCAAACCCAGAGTCATTTTGGACCTGCTGTGATGCCCTTGAGAAAACAGCGAGATTCCAGAGTGTGTGAAGTCCCCCTTTAGCCTCGCTTTTTTCAGCTGGAAAAGCTCAGGGGACTTGCCGCCAAACAACGTTTGTGTGGAGAAATGACTGGCGGGAAAGCCTCTCCGGGCCGCAGAGCCCTGCCAGGCCTCAGGCCTGAGCGCCCGCAGCACCTGACAGAGGAGGTGCCATATGGACGGCAGCACCGCCATGTTTCTAGCTCGGAAGGCTTGGGGTGAGGCTGGCAAGGGCGATTTCTAACAGGGGACTCAGGTAATGCCAGGGTCCCCTGGGGCCTGATGTCCTCCAGAGATGTCCCCAGCACCCGGGAGACCAGAGGGGTGGGGAGGGTGCTGTGGTTGCCCATCCACCTCATGCCTCACCCCTCCAGGGACTTAGCGGGAGGCTTTAGGATTTGGAAAATGGACTGTCAGAAAGGAAGGGAGATCATCTCAGAGGTGCTTCCGTGTATGAGTCAGGACACGGAGACCCAGAGAGGAGAAGTCATTTGCCCAAGACCATGAGTCTGAGGCTCCAGACCCCTTCTTGCAGCCCTGAAGTTCACTATCTCAGAGCTCCAGGGGAGAGGGGAGAGACGCCAAGGAATGGCTACTGGGTTTGTGCACCAGAAGCTCAACTCCAGCGCTGGAGAAGCTTTACCCCTGTTTCTGTTTGACCAGACACAGTATCCCATCAAGCTGATGGGTGAACAGAGGAGAGGAGAACCCCAGCAGGCGCAGGGCATGCGTGCTCGCGGGCCCCCTGGAGTCCTCTGAGGGCACGTCCTGCTCTTCCCCTGAGAGGGAGCCGCCTGCTCAGAGCTGTAGGGGCGGGATGGGTGTGGTGCAAGAGGAGGCCGGGCAGAGGCAGACGCTGGGGCTTAGGGATCGATTAGAGGAAAACATTCTGTTTTGGCTTTACTGTGAAAGGACCGGTTTTATTTTTCCTCTGGAGAGCTGCATGAAGCCTGTCAGACCCCATCTTTCCAAACGTGCAGGACGCCGGCACCAGCCAACAGCTGAAAGGCAGTTTCAGCTTTGCTGTTTTCTGCCTCGGGTCCTTCCATCCTCAAAGTCATCTTCCTGTCTCTCTCTGCCAATTTCCTACCTGCTGCCAGGTAAATCTCCATAAAGCACACTTCCCATCCTGCCACCCTGTGCCCCAGTTCCAGATAGCCCAGGGAACACAGTCTGGGGGGAAATGTCTTTCTGTGGCTCCTGGTCCCGCTCCTAGCTCCCAATCTCCTGGCAGGAGTGGAGTAACTGTTAGGACCCCCACTGATGGCTGCTTGTGCAAATGGCGTACAGAGGGTGAGTGCAGTTCTCCCAGCCCCACCCAGCTAGCTACGCCTCATGATTCCCAGACCCCCACTCATTGTCCCCATCCCAACCTCTCCCAAGGGACGGCCTTCGTGATACATGTACACCATGGAATATTACTCAGCAATCAAAAAAGATAAACACATGCCATTTGCAGCAACATGGATGGTGCTGGAAGGGATCATGCTCAGTGAAATAAGCCAGAAAGAAAAAGAAAAATACCGGATGGTCTCACTCATAGCAGGAATCTAGAAAACTTAAATAAGGGACCAGGAAAATGAATAACTATAAGAAAGTGAAAATCAAAATCAACAAAAAACTATGAAACAGAGACACTTTTGGGGGGGTGGGTGGAGGGAGGGGAGGGATTGGGGTCAAAATAAGGGGGTTGCCATTGTATGGGGAATATAAAAATAAAATTTATTTAAAAAAATAAATAAATCTAGATAATGTTTTAAAAGAATAATAAATTAGCATTATGAGAGAAAACAACAACAACAACAACAAAGTCAAGCTTGTCCATGCTACCGGCACCAGCTCCTCTCCCACTTTCTCTAAGGCCACCCTGAGAAATAAACGCCAGCCATACATGCCCTGAACCCCTCCATGCCCACCTGATTCCATGCTTCCCCTCCCCGTTCTCAGAGATTCTCCAGAGTCAAAGGTTATGACATGTGAATCTAGTCAATTATCCATATTGAAGCAACCCAGCAACGGCATTGTTAGTTATCCAACCTGAAATTGAGCTGAAAATGCAATCCCAGGCGACAGGAAGGAAGCAGCAGTTAGAGGGATGGTGGTGGACAGAGTCCAGGGAAGGTGGGCCTGAATTGCCCTTCCAGTAAGAAGGTGATGGACACCTAGCCCTTGTTGTCCGCTCTTGTTGGAAGGAGATGATAGGTGATGTGGAAGAGCAAGAAACTGAGAGCTGATTGACTTGGTTCTGCGACTTACTGAACTGTGACCTTGGACAAGTTACTCATCTCCTCGCTGCTTTTGATCCCCCCAAATTTAAAGGCGACACGGCCAAGATGCTCCCTAGAGTTCCATCTGGGTGTGACTTTCTGCCTCTGGGTGAGTCAGACTCATCGGATCAACACCATCTGTGAGCTGAGGCTCTCCACCCAGTGGGGGTTCTCACTGGTTCCTGTTGTATAACTCGTCAGGGTCAGCAACTGTCCTGTCTCCCAGGGCAGAGCTCAGCCATCACCCCTCCCTCCAGGCAGCCTCATCTGGGGTTAATTTCCCTCCAGAGACAAGAGCCAAAAATAAATCGTACCTTGCTTCCCGATCAGTCTATACCTCCTAATCCTCATAAATGACAGCAAGATAAGTGAACACAGGGCTGTTAAGGCTCCTGTCCTGATGCTGGGGCAGGGGCTGATTCTGGCACATGCCAGCCAAATGGCTGCCTCACTGTGGTTTTCAAAGTTGAAATAGAACCTGCTTCAGGCTGGAGCATGGTAGGTGGTCTTGGTTCTTGGATCATAAATTCTGAGAGGTAACTATTTTTCCTGCCCCCTCTATGATCCAGTATAATATTATTGTGATTGGAAGGGTTCTGGGGAAGCATTTTCCCTTCCCTGATGCCCAGGAATCCTGAGCTGTTTGACCAAGTCTACTAATATTGGTGACTTGCAATTTGTCTCCAATTGTCATTCCACCTTCATCTCCAACTGTCGCTCCACCCACTTCTCTCCTCCCACCCGAATCTCTTTAATGTAGCTTGTCCTTTTCTGCACTTAAGTTCTGCCACAGGCAGTTGTGACAGCTTAGAATTCCATTTCTAAATCTTCTCAACTGGTGAAATCTTTTCTTCCTTCAAATCCAGTTCCATGCCACTGCCTCCGGGAAGTCCTCCTAATCTCTCTCTGGCTGAGGATACAGGACTCTGTCCCATGGCACCCCTAGAACAGCAGGTGAGCACTTCCCCTATGGCATCTGTGTCAAATTCCTGCCACACATTGAACCCTATTAGGTGCTGACTTGCGCCCCTCACCCATCATGTATGTGCATTGAAGTTTTAACTCTTAGGACCTTAGAATGTAGCCATACTTGGAAGTCAGTCTTTAAAGAGGTCAGTTTTCAATGAGAATGGTCACTGAAACCATCTTGGACATGGACCTGTACAGAGGGGAGGTGACGTGAAGACACAGGAGGAGGCAGCCAGCCGTGCGTGAGCCGAGGAGAGGCCTGGAACAGAACCCTCCTTCACAACCCTGCCATTTATATGTGTGCACGTAAACCTCTGGCATTTTCTAGTCCCAACTCAGTCCCCACCTTCTGCTCCCCGCTCCCTTCTTCAGTTCTGAGTTCTCGGCAGTACTGTGCCCTCCTCCATATAAAACCAGAGCTAGAGACCCTGTCTCTTCTGAGCTGCCTCTGGCCTCGCTCTGCCTTCCTCCTTGAAAACAGAGCTTTTCTTTCAACCCTGAACAGAAACTTGAATATTCCCCAGCAGTCAGGGGTCAGAATACCCCGTGGAGATGTTGGGTTTGTTGACTTCATTCCTTTCCAGAAGCAGCCCTGCCTGATTGAATTTAAAATTGATAGAACCTTTGAAACTTTCATATGTAAGCCATGCCAGCCACTTCTGTCCCAGGAGGCACGCAGACAATGAGATGAACAATCATTCCTCTCAGTTCCTGTCCCAACATCCCAGCTTCCTCTGTGGGGCCAGCACAGACTTATCTGTGTCTTTCACACATGAGTCATTGATCTTTTTATGACTGTCCTCTGGATTTCTTTTGAGAACGCAATAATTACCAAGTCTGAGGTCATGGCTGTGTCCTTGGGGTGTTCACCAGGCCATCTGGTTTCCTGAGATGTTCCCAAGTCATCTTTGTACACAGCAGGCCTCTGTGAGCACCCCGTGAGTCCACCTGAGCATCCCATAAGCCACCTGCTCATTGTCCTCCATTGTGTCTTTGGCATTTTCTCTCTCATGATCTCCTGGCTTTGGCTGTCCTGCTTGATGGTGTTGAGGTCATAGCATTAGGCAACATCCCAGAAACTATGGTCATGGTGATATTTTTAGCGGAGTCAGTGTAAGGTTGTGGAAACTGCATGCTGCTTAATAGCACAAGCCTGGGATCCAAATGCTGCCACTTTGCCACGGGGCCAGTGACCTAACCCTACAATGCCTCAGTTTCCCCATCAGCCCTATGACCATAATTATACTAGCATTATGATGATTAAATGAAATAACCTATGCAGTGTGCTTGGAGTTATTCATGGCATAAGATCCCTCAAAAATAGTCAAATTATGTTCCACTTCCCTTGAATTTTTATTGTAACATCTTGTTTGAAGAGAATTAAAATGCAGCTGAGGTTGAGCAAAGGGGCAATATTTCTTCAGGAGTCTCAACCTGGGAAGAAAGATGTTAAATACATGTCAGATGACACAGTCTCTGGGGTCATTTACCCCTCCTGCATCCATGGTCTGGATGGGGGTCTAGAGACACAGTCTCGGTCAGCCTCTACATGGTTTTCCACTTCTGTGTGGCTATCTCAACAGTTGGGATCATCTGACTCTTTTTCAGTGCCTTTCAGACAGTTCCCAGTACTGTCCATGAGGAGACAGGGCAGCTCCAGCCATGCAGTGCTTAGTGGGAAAACAACATGACATCACTCAGGCTGTTGCTGGAGCAGCCTTGATGCCTCAGACTAGGTGTGCAGTGCGGGCAGGACACCCACCCCTCTGAGCCTCTGTTTCCTCACTGACAAACACAGCATGTTAATATCTATTGTTTTTAAGATAAATTAGGTGACAAGAAAGGGAAAAATCTGACTCCAAATGCCTTAATAGTGGTGGTATCCATATGACTATATACTTACACTTTCAAAACCAGTTTCTTCTCCACATAACTCTGACCCTTCTGCGCTTCAGAGTTCCCTCATTGTTACCCACCCACCTGCCTCAACACTATTAGTAATGTATTTTGTCAGATGAATAATGACCCCCTAAAATATTCCTGTTTTTAACCCCAGAACCTGGAACTGTTACAGGTTATACAGTGAAGGGTCTTTACAGATATGACTAGGTTAAAGATTTTGAAATGGAGAGATTATTCTAGAAGGTCTTATAGAGAAGAAAAGATGTCTCTTTTGTCTTAAAGCTATTGAAGTGGTGTTAAATGATGGTGTTGAGGAGAGTGGAGAAGTCCATCCCTGGATGTCGGGGTTGGGGTGAAGTTAGCTAGACCTGTCCATCCTAGCAGGTAGGAATCCATAGACTGGCAGGCTGGGTGCCAGAACAAGCTAGAGGGAAGGGAGCTGGAGCTCCAGCAGCCTTGGGTGCTTGCTTAGGGGAAGAGCCCTGTTTATATTTTGTTGTAAAAACTATGGATTCCTTTTTGCAGACAGAACAGACAGATGCTGGGTGTGGAACTGCTTAATGAGTTCGAATTTTGAATTTCATCCAAGGCTTTGACACTGAACTACCCAAAGCAGAAAACTCTTTGAATTAATTATGTGTTGGTTTAACGCCAATATTTTCTCCATCAAAGACAATCTATACATATTTTCCTACAATGAATGTAGACTGGTCCAGCCCCCATGGAAAGCAGTGTGGAGATTTCGCAGAAGATTGAAAATAGATCTTCTATAGGATCCAGCAATTCCACTCCTAGGTACATACCAGAAGAATACAAAGATACTCATTCCAAAGGAACTATGCACTCTTATGTTTATGGAAATGTATGTTTATATGGAAATTCTTATGTTTATATGGAAACCAGAGTGCCTCCCAAACAGATGGATAGATCAGGAAGATGTGATATATATGTGATGGAATACTACTCAGCTATCAAAAAAGATAAACTCTTGCCATTTTCAACAAGATGGCTAGAACTGGAAAGAATTATGCTAAGCAAATTAAGTCAGAAGGAGAAAGGCAAATACCAGATGATGTCACATATATGTGAAGTATGAGCAACAAAACAAAGGGTCAGATAAAGCCATACCAATAGCAAACTCTGGAAATCTGATGGTGGAACTGAGGTTGCCAGTGGAGGAGGGAGAAGGGTAGGGGTGAAGAGAAAGTGATGGGGGGGAGCATGATGGACTCTGGTGATGGATAATGGGTGCTATGGAGGTAGGTGCAGTGTGGTAACATCTGGAGGGGTGGGCCCTATAAACACAAACAATGTTGTAAACCAAAGTCACCTCCATGAAAATTTTTTTTCCTCACAGTCAACTTCAAAAAAATCTTCCAGTACAATGTACCTACTAAATTACCCTTTTCTTGCTATGAAATAAGTAGCTTGCTAAATAGAGCAGATATAAATTCCAGGCAAATGCAACCAAAAAAAGCCATTTTAATCAGAAGGCAGTATATCCTTGCCAATCTTTTTTTGAAATGTTAAAAGTAGTTGAAGTAGCTTTTACTTCCTTCGTGGTTCCTAAATTGGGACGCACTTATAGAGCAAAGAGAGAAAAGCAGACAGTTTAAATAATGCTTATCTATTGACACAGAAGGACGTATTCATTATATGGATAAAAAGAAATAAAGAAAAACATTGGTGATGATTTTTCCATGTGTCCCCTTGTCTAGGCAATAGCACCCAGTTATGTAATCAAACTAAATCTAGGTGTTGCTATAAAGTCATTTTGTGGATGACGTGGTTGATGCTTCCTATTAGTTGACTTTATGCACCCTTGATATGTGGGTGGGCCTCGTTGCATCAGTTGAAGGTCCTAAGAACAAAAACTGAGGCTTCCCTGAGAACAAGTCTGCCTCAAGACCGCTGCATCAATTCCAGCCCTATGGACTCACCAGCCTGCACAGCTGCACGAGACAAATCCTCTGAATAGATTCTGACACCCCCTCTCTGTCCACCCTCTGCTTGCATTGTGAGTTCTGTCTCTGTGGAGCATGCTGACTGATACAGCGGTTACAGAAAATAAACAAAGGCTCATTTAGAACCACAGTATGTACTCATGCTCATCAGTATGCTTATATTTGAACATCTAAGATCCATCCTACATTGTGTAAAAGACACAGGCTCCTGGCAGGGAGTGGGGAAAGAGGGGTAAACCACTGGATTATTGCAAGGTAGTTGTTGCAGGTCTGTTTGTGCAACCAGCCTCATCATTAGGTTGAATAAGTGAAAACATCATGTGTACGTAATTTGTGAAATAGCCAGGTGTTTGTTGAGTGCCTACTCTGAGGTTCACATAAGTGCCTTTTAAATGAACATAGATACAACTGCATGCAATCAAACAGAAAATCATCCAAAACCATCTCTGAACTCACAGCCCTTATCTCTTTGAATTATCTGTAGATTCAAAAGTACAGTTGTTCTCATGTGGTGGGCATTTGTGAAAATTTTTGATATTAAAAGGCTTCCTTGTGTTAGGAAAAGCTGGGACTCAACAATTGATGGTAATTGGCTTATAAATATGTGAACTATGACATGGTTGCAAAATATTCCACTTGAACCCCAATGGGACCTCATCCCATCTACACTGACTTCCCATATAATTGAGACATGTACACTAGAGTCATTATCAAAATAAATTAACTTTAATCCTGGAAAAGCTGGATGAGGATGGGGGCTTGGTCCCACGGCTCAACTGTCCTGCAGTTCTTTCACCTTGAAGTGAACTTGCCACTAGGCCGTAGATGGAGCAGATGGACAACTCAGACCTCTCTTCCCATGTCAGCGCCTGAGGGGAAATGGTCCTGTCCAGCTTCCCTGAAGGCGAAGGGAACCGAGAGAACGCTGAACAAACGGGTGGCAAAAGGACAGAGTGAGCAGCAAGAAGACTGGTTTGCTTCCTGCTCATAAATGCGCCAGTTCCCTCTTGTCCCGGGAAAGCACTGGGAAGGGGGTGTCAGTGTGGGCCCTGACCACAGGGCGCCGCCCCTTGAAACCAGGGCTGGGGTCTGGTGTGTGACTCAAAGGACAGTCACACACTACATTTTTTTTGGTCTGATCTCTCTACCTTCCAATTTTTGGTAATGATGACTCGAAAGGATGCCCTCCCAGGTAAGCTCTTGGAAGAGTAGGAAGGACTTGAGTGTAAGACAGGATTTTTGCAAAACGGAGCTTCGCCACTTACTACGGGAGTGACTTCGTGACTGTTGAAGCTCGCTGCATCTCGGTTTCTGCCGCTGTAAATCGGGAAATAGAACAATGCCGACCTCCCCGGCTGCTGTGTGAATTAAATGAATTAGCACGTTCAAGGTACTGAGAACAGCATCTGGCCTATAGAATTCAGGGAGTAGATGTTAGCTATTATTAAATTGAAATAACCTTATTGAGGTACCAAGGCCTTGTCTGTGAATGTAAAAATGATTATGAAGGCTTATCCTTCAACATCTCTCCATTCATTTAACGCTTGTATTGAGAGCCGACATCAGGCCAGCACGGTGCAAGGGATGCAGAGCTACAGAGAATGAGCAGACCAACTTCAAGACATTCAGATTCCGGGGCAAGAAAAAGACCAGGAGGCAGCGATGAAGCGAGATGATAAAAACAATGAAAGTGGATTCAAAGCAGAGTGCCTTATCCTGACTGGGCAAGAGAATTACAGACCTTTTCCTGGAAGGCAGAAATGCCAGGTCCATGCCATGCCACTGAAGCCAAAGAGGGAGGATTTCAGAGACATGGAAGAAATTGCAGAGCAGGCAAGTGAGATGAGTAAGGAAAGGTGTCAGCTGCGTAGTGACCCAAAGATTGTCAGTGAAGACAATGTCTGTGGTGTGGTGAGATCAGCGGTCATATTGCGGAGGTGGGGGGGGGGTGAGGTGTTGGGTGAGGCTGAAGAAGGGGTGCACGTAGGAGGTGTGACAACCCATTCCTGTGCACTCAGCTCAGCTGGGAAAGAGATGGGAAGATGCTACTGTGCTTGGAAAGGAGCGGTGAGGTCAATGGCAGCCTCTGCTGGGATTGGCGGGGTCAGATGTGTTTAACTGTCGAAGGAGTGGGAGGAAAGCAGAGAGAGCTATCAGCACCCTAATTCTGGAACACTGTCAATATTGGCCTGTTAATGGTATGAATCCAAAGCGTCTGTGATATTGGGAGGTTGGATCTTTATTAGGGTTCACAGGAGGGCGGCCAGCATGGGGTGGGTAGGTAGATGGTTGTGCAGGGTAGTACTGGGGTGTTGAGATGTTGGGGAATTCCCACTTAATGCCATCTACCTTCTCTGTGTGATGGATACCCCAATATCCTGAGAGCGTGTTCTTCTCTCCTAATCTCTCACCATTTAAACTTGAGCAAATTGAAGACAGAGCGGCTGATGGGATTGCAGGGAGGCTCCCAGGGAGCTCACAGCAGGGTATAGCAGAACCCAGTCATCAGTTCCCAGACTCCTAGTCTTCCTCCCTGGTTGCACAGCAATATCCTGCTTTGCCTCCTGA